AAATCAATTGATTCGCACTTTTTCCCCCAGAAGCTTGAAACCACTTATATACTACCTTGCGCTTTCGTATCTCCCGTCTAAATCGCCTCTTAGTTTAAACTGTCTGCTCATAGTCCACTTGCCGACGGAAGTTACGTGCCGATCGTTGTTTACTAAATGCCTCCGCCGGATCCCGATCGGCGGCCTTCGGTCACGCAACACATAGATTATCTGTTTACGAATACCTATTAAGAGTTTGCAAATGAGTATATGAAAGAAAAATAAATGGGTTTTCAAGCCAAATTTTTGAACAATTGAAAAAGAAAAGCTTTTGTTGTAACTGTCAGTAGATTTTGTGTTGGAAAAATTTATCTTACTTTTTTATTAAATTGAAATTATTGGTTGCTTTTAAAGGTATAAATGCTCAGGACTGACGGCAGGTTAGCAGTCGCTCTTGTGAAGGCTGCTAACAGAATAAGTTTTGGAGAAATTTTTAGCAGAGAATATTTTTTGAAAAACCTCTTAGCTATCACCGGTGGAGGATTTATTTGCTGGTTAAAGATCTGATAATTTTTGATTGCAATTAATGCATTCACTTATTGCAGTGTAAATTCAGAATAAAAGTATTTTTAAAATTACTTAACTCAATGATACTTGGTAAATGATAATACTGTTGATTGTTTTAGCTCAATAATTGACTACAGTAAAAGATATTTCAGATATTGTAACATTTGAGAATCCTGGTCAAATCAGATAATTAAATTTTTGCTATTCCCGATCACCAGCAGTCATGATATATCTGGTTATTCCAAATCTATAGGCTGAAGACTTTTACAAGTAAATTGAGATTAGACATCCTTTCACGGTTTGGCCTAGAACAAAAAAGAGAAGTCACCATGGGAGATGGTCGTCATCTGAAACTTTGCTGCAAGCTTTTAAGGTGAGTGCATTGGTTGGAGGGCAATAGAGTTGATCAAGTACCTGATACATTTAAATTTTTACAAATAGATCAATTTTATATATTGTAAACTGTAGGTCATACCATATGCTATACAATCCGATATCTGTTATCTTCTCAGTTTATCCACTTCGTTTTAGTCCACTTCTGCAGCAAATGATGGGTTTTTAGAAACTTGTAATTCATAGTTTGACCTCAATTTTCTTGAATATTCCATATCAAAAGCCACTTTTCTTTAACATTTCCTTCCATTGAACAATTCATGCGCAGTTTTACAACAAATCTGTGTTGTCAAAAATGGTTTAGGAGAATTAACTGCCGAACTAGAGTAGAACAAAAGCACCAAATGTGAAAGTACCAGTTAGCTGCACGGAGTGGTTGAGCACAACTTTTTTTTCTACCTGAATAGGCGGCGGGTATAACCAGAATCAACGTATTATTGTGCATTAATTCCGTTGAAACAGAAATCGAAGTTGTCAAAAATGGTAATTGATAACAGCTTTCCAAAATATTCAATGGAAGTAATTGAATAAAATGAAAACAAAAATTAATCTTGTCCTCGAATAACTGTTTTTAGAGACAAAACTTTTTATTCTATCCAACTGTTTAGCTAAGATCTGCTTCGTTCACTAGACACATAATTTTTCCCCTCCTTGTACTTCCCGATGCACAGGAACATATCCAATAAATTGACTAGTGTTAATTGAAGACTAAAAACGTCCAAAAAACTTACGCGTCAATATGCTCAAAAATTATTTAATTATGTAAAAACTGACACTCAAAAAAAATATCCGTAGTCGAAGTTAAAATCAAAACTTGTTTCTTGAAGATAATATAAATTTGATCAAACCTTTTGAAAATCTTGTTTCATCCCGGTGTAATGACAAATGGCAGTGCTCTGTAGAAGATAATTTCAAAAAGGAAGAATTATACAAGTGTCATTCTTGGTTTTCAAGTTGCCAAGCCACTTTGAGTTGTACCGGACTAAGCCACAAATGCAAAAACCTGCAGGTTCATTAGCATCTTTTTTTCTTCAGGTAAATACCATACAAAACGACGACAGAGAATATGTTCGAAGACCAACAAATATGGCAAGAGGAAAGAATAATGGCTGCAGTAAAACGAAAACATCTTTTACCAACTGACTATAGCAAAAAAAACCGTCAGCTTTTTACAACTTAAAGTAAATCTGCTAGCTTGAACGCCGACATGTTACCAGACAACTAAGCGACAGTGACCCGGAGACATGAAATAACAGCAATGATAGCTTTAACATAGCCATTAAAAACTAAGCAACTGTGCTGAAAAAATTACAGGGCATCTTTTCCACAAACCGATTTGGTAGGCAAAATTTAATCTTTATCACGCTACAGCAGCAGAATACTTCCGTATATCATGGTTTTGAGGCGAAACGACTGTAAAAACTAGTTGACAGTAAATATCAGAAAAAAAAGGTTTGAAAGTAAGGGGTCGGTAAAACGAAGGGGAAACAAAAAGAAGAAAAAAAAAGAAGAACTAAAAGCTTGTTTGGGCTAAAAGTCTAGAGGGGTTTTCAGTGATAGAATTAAGCGGTATTACAAATGATGAAGGTAGAGTGAAACATCTTTTTGGGTATATCAAATGTTGATATTTTAATCTTAAAGTCAGACAGTTTCTTCAAATCACTATCGGCATAATAAGCATTTGATAATGATATTCCTAATGGCCCTTTAGCAACATTTATAAAACAATGCAATGGAAGACTAGCAAAATTTTTTGTAGGATTAATCAGTGCTTGCTGGAAATTTGGTGGCCAAAATCTAAGCAGTATTCTTCTAAGTTGTAGTCATCTGCAAATCATTTTGAACTGCCAAAGGAAACACTCAAATCATCTTCCAATATTCTGAATACTTAATCTATGATTTATCAGTCTCTTCGTGTTGTGGAAGGTTAATTGAGATCTAAAATTAACGTATAATTAGGATTACTGTAATTAGTCAACGCGTTGATTATTACCCTTTAGCAGTTTTTATTTTTACTATTTCCTTCGCTGGAATTCTTACTGCCAGTGGGACTCCGTGCTAGACGCATAACCGGCAAGCTAAACTTAGTTCAAAATATTAAGCGCCTTACTTGAAAAATCCCATCATTTGTTAAGTAATGATGCAAAGTGCACAGGCTAATTGTAACAAGAAGAGCGCAAATCCCTAACACTGTGCCAGGCTGCCCGATTGACAGTAAATAAGGACGCGCAGCACCAGTTTAATTCCTGTTTAAGAGACTGGATTGTCAACGTAACATTTTTGCCACAGCCACAAAAACCTAGTGGCAAGGAACAAAGATATGTGGTGTAGTTTCGCATGGGTGAATATTGTATAAATAAGTACTACTACTTTGGTGAATACAAGATGCACGAGTAGCATACAAAAAATTTTACAAAACACGAGGTAAAACGAGAAATAATTCAACATGATCGTAGATCAAGTGCTGTAAAAAGAGGTGCTCATGAACGTTTATTCTACTAATTTCTCTTTAAGTTTTGTAAAGAGTTGCAAAAAATGCCAAAAAAAAAA